AAAGGGAATATAATTTTAAAGTGGTCAACAGTGAACACCTCCACTCTGCTGCTGACTGAAGTATCAGGGTTACATCATTTGTCTACAATTAAGAGTCATAGAGTCATAAGTACATTCAGCATGGAAACAAACCCTTCAGTCCAACTCATCCATGCCAACAAGATATCTTAAATTAATCTAGTCCTATTTGTCAACATTTGGCCCATATCCTTCTAAACTCTTCCTATTCATATACCTATCCAGGTGCCTTTTAAATGTTGTAATTCTACCAGCCTCCACCACTACCTTTGGAAGCTCACTCCAAACATGCACCACCCTCTGCATGTAAACAGTTGCCCCTTAGGTCCCTTTTAAATCTTCTCCCTCTCATCTTAAACCTATGCCCTCTAGGTTTGTACTCCCCTACCCCGAGGTAAACCTTGACTATTCTCTCTATCCATGCCCCTCAAGATTTTATAAACTTCTATAAGGTCACCCTTCAGTCTCTGACGCTCCCAGGGAAAATAGCCCCAGCCTTTTCAGCCTCTCCCTATAGCTCAAACCCTCCAATTCTGGCAACAGCCTTGTAAATCTTTTCAAGATCAATGTTGATGAAACATGAATAGTAAGTAGATGCAGAAAATGAATAATTAACATCAAGACGCTTTTTAAGTGACACCCTTACCTTCTCAGATGTAAAATGCAAGAAATTTGGAAAGTTACAGAGACAAGACAAGGCAATTGTATAGGGTACCAATGCAGTAGTGATAGTAAGCGTGACACAAAGAGATAGAAAGCTAAGAGTGCACCATAGGGCCATAAGAGTTCCAACAAAGACGGTCAGAGTAGGGAGAAAGGTACAACGACCGAATCATAGGCTCTTTATCCAATTACATGCAGCATTCATAATAAAATTGATATATTGATAAAGCAAATAAAAATAAACAAGCATGTGATATGATTGTTATTCCAAAGACATGGTTGCAAAGGAATTCCAGCTGTGGCCTAAACATTACAGGGCAGTCGAGATTTCAGAAAGACAGGTAGAAAGGTAAAAGGCTTTATTCATGAAGCACCACAGTCATGAGGAATAATCTTGGTTTGGAAGATCAAAATGTAGAATCAGTTCAGGTGGAGATAAGTAAAGGAAAGAAATTACTGATACAAGGCGCTTATAGGGTCCCTGACAGAACTTACATTGTCGGACCAATATACATCAAGAAATAATGATAGCTTGGAAGAAAGGTACTGCAATAATTGTTGGATATTTTAATCTTCATATAGATTAAGCAAACTAAATTGGCAAATATAGCTCGCAAGATTACTTCATGGAGGGTATTTTAGAACAATATGTTCTGGAACCAACCACCGAACCATCATTTTTGACCTGGTAATGCATGAAGAGACATAATTAATTAATGACTTGTAGTAAAGGTTCCTCTCAGTAAAAGTAATCATTACGTGGTAGAATTTCATGTGCAGTTTGAAAATGGGAGATTTGGCCTTAACCTTAAATAAAGACAACTACATGAGTGTGAAGACAGAGTTGTCTAAAATTGAATGGCTAAGAGGGTAAAAGGTAAGACAGTGTATAAGTGTCAATCCTTTAAGGAAATATTCCTTAACTCTTAACAAAGCAATGTTCCAATGAGAAACAAGGACTCAAATGAGTGCATTAACCATGGTTAATTAGGAAGGTTAATGCTGGATTAAGTTTGGAAAAAAAGATGTACAACATGGCAAAGATTATTGATAGGCCAGTGATTGGAAACACTTTAAAAACTAGCAAAGGAAAGAACAATTAAAGAAATGAAAAAATTGGAGTATGAGCTATAACTAGAAATATAAGTACAGAAGTAAAAGTTTTACGGGCATATAAATAGGAAGTGAGTGTCTAAAATAATGTTGGTCTCTTAGAGGATGAAACTGATCTTTTCTCAGGCCATCTACTTGAACTACTAAAACATTTTAAAGGCACCTTTCAAGTTCTGATGCCTGGATACTGACAAAACTTAACTATCCTTCTGTTGGTGTTAAATGTTTTTTTCTCTGAGCTAGACCTGCATGTGGCCTCTTTATATCTGTCTCTCCCGGTCATAAAATATCAAATTAGTAAACACTTTAGCAACAATCTCAGCAGGTAGCTACCTATGTTCTCGCCAATTAACTTAAGTCACATCACTTGTTGGAAATGCGGTTTTGATCCACTGTGAAAATGTCTCTGACACTCAGTAAGAACTTATCTTCACAGAACTGAAAATCTTAAAACCATTTACCTCAACTTTCTCACTAAGGTTCCTAAATAATTGCAAGATAGGTTAAACCTTCCTTACACTAGAATACCTCATCTAACTGTTGTAGTTATTTCCAGTCCAACAATTTAAAATTATTATTTTAATTATATTTTTAACTTAAATGAACAATGCTCACAGGCATTTCAAATACTTGTGAATTCACTGGTCCTACAAGCTGAATACATTGCATGTAGGCATTTGGAACTGGAATCTGAGACTACCAAATTCTGTTTGTCATCTTCACACAAAACCCTGATATCTGGTTTATGTTATGCAAACTAGTAAAAATGATTTCTGAAGAAGAGTCCCAACCCGAAACATCAACTTTCCTGTTCCTCTGTTGCTGCCTGGCCTGCTGTGTTCCTCCAGCTCCACACTGCGTTATCTCTGACTCCAGCATTGGCAGTTCTTACTATGTCTTAGTAAAAATCTCTCCTTTGATAAGTTTTATCTCACTTAATAGTCAAAAATTTCAAGTTGACACTGCCCAAATTGATTTTTTTTTTTAAAAGGACACATTTGTCGTTTTAGAATTCACACCATAATAGATTATAGGGTTTTTTAAATATAAAATAGATTATAATGATACGTTATGCACTCATTAACACAAGTTTAAAACTGCAATTATCACTCTGAATAGCTTTGAAAAAGACGTCATAATATAATTAAGATTTTAAATAACCTGCAAAACACATGATTTTCTTCAATCTGCAACAAAGTGAATGTGTTTCAATAATAGAACATTTCGAGTGAGACTTTCCCCCTGTGCACAAGTGCTTCCTGACTTCATCCTTGAACAGCCTAGCTTACTTTCAAGTTATGGCCCCTGTTCTGGACTCCCCAGTAAAGGAGTCTTTTCTCTCTGTCCAACTGTTAGTAGATTCACCATGGTTATGGTTGCAACAAAATTTGGGTCAAAATTCCTGCTCAACAGCATTTGCAAGATCCAGGCCAAGGGGTATTGAAATAAAAAAGCTTTAAGACATATTGAGTAATAACTATAAAGTTCTAACCATAACTGTGCTACTGTATTAGATTAAATGACTAACAATTGACAGAATGTTCTGATGATATTGACCTTGAAATTTAACTTTGTTTCATGCACAACAGATGCTGTTAAAATGTTATGTGTTTTATTGGGAATGAATATAACTCAAATTCCTCCACTCAATGATCAAATTTGACTTTTCTGGGTGACCATAAAGGCAAACAGACTTCTCCACAAATTGCCACATAGAGAGGAAACTGTTTCAACATACATACTATTTGGCATTTTGAGCTGCATTTTCCTAAGCTGATGGCATGTTCCAAACTCTTCATCGCCTTTACCTAAATCTCAGTTTTACAGGCTTTCCTGATCTCTAAATGTCTGATTCTTCACAGATTTTTCCAACTAGTATGCTGTAATGACATTTTAACTCATTGTACTCACAGTGCAGGAGGAGGAGGCCATTCAGACCAATGAGTCTGCTCCACCAATGACCATCTGATGACAACAATGGAGGGTGACATTGCAATGTCACACCCAGTAACCACTTTACATTATTTTATTCAAAGTGATTATCCATAATGCCAAAAATCCCACCCCACTGCTTATGCAGACATGACCTGTGACATCAGCTCCTTGTGACAGACTGTAGGAAGTAACCACATGGGAATGCACCCAGTTGAGTGGGAAGAAGGGGTCGTAGCTGTGGTTGACAAAGCAAATCTCCCTGTCCATTGTGTCATCTGCTATGCTATCACTCCTTCATTGCCCTTACCTCACTAGTGCCACCAGACAACAGTCTTCAGCTGCTACCCTGCTTGGGGAGGTGTCCTTTCCAGAACTGGGAAATCATGCTCAGTAGCCATGGCTGCTGCTGTGCCTATTCCCCACCAACCTACTGCTCCTGCTCAGATGCCAAAATACTCAGTGATACATGTACAGGTGGGGCCAGTAATCTCAACTGATCACAATACTGTATTCCTGCATGTGCTTTCATTGCTGTGGTAGGGGGCACCTATAGAAAATGTGATCTATTTTGTTACACACAGTAATACCTACTACAATCATCCTGTTTAGCATGGATAATTCTCACAGTACATTTTAAAACTTGTACAAGAGGATCTTCAGAATTATTGAAGAAAATGCCTTCAAATAAAAATGATCAGTGCAAAATCAGTTGTCATCACCGTGTTAAGCCAGATCCATATTCAAACGAATCTTATCACAGTGAAAGACAATTTATTAGTGCATTATTTATAGACAGCACTAATCCATCATTCATATTCAACTTAATGAATAAGTGTCTTCATCCAATGCATTTGAGTATTCAACAAAATTTTCAGTCTTGGCAGTTAAATAAATCCTGATGAAAACTACAATAAATATAAAGATTATTTTATGCTTCATACATTAATTTCATCTTCACAAATGACAAAGTCAAGATAAGTTCTTACAGCCTTTAAAAAAAGACTGGTCCAAATCTTTAGATAATGTTCAATATGTTGATAGCTGTTGATAAATGTGACCTTGCTATTCTGTGACAATTTTAAATTTGGAATATCCAATGACCATAAAGTGATATGAGTATCTCATTAAACAGTCCATAATATTAAAACATGAAGGCTGATGTGACATTAAAAGTCCTATCATAGAATTAGGTTTTGCAATAAATCTAAAAAGAAATTCAGAAGAAAAGATTTTGCTTTCAAAATTCACCAATTATTTTATTGTAGCAATAATGAACATTAGCAAATATATACTTCTTAAACGTACGTACTTTGTAAACACGTATACTCATGTCTTGCGTCTAAAAATCTAACCTCACAACTTGCAAGGACTTCACTTCATTGCTTCTCCTGGAATTTTCAGGAGTACTGACTGGTTCAGTGTAAAACAAGAGATATGAGAATTATCAACAATTTCTAATGTTTGATTGAAATGCACATTCACACCACATTTTTAAAAATTTGCATGTTATGTTTATTTTATTTATTCTGGTTATGTCAATAAAAGTTTTTGAAGTACACAGGGATTCACTGTAACATGTACAATTTAATGTGTAGATCCAGCAAGTAGTTTCCAAATAGATCCTTTTGTACAAATGATCAAAGATTAAAATTAATAAAACGACCTACAAAAACACATGGATTTCAATCACATACAAAAACTCCAGGTAATTCTAAAAATATTTTTTAAAGACCCAATTAATATCTTTACAAATAGTAAAAGTGACATCACAGCACAATTGATGAATGTTCATCAATGCAAAAGATACATGACTCAGCCAAATACAATTAACAGAAAGTAAACAGTAAAGGAGATAGACTGGAAATATAGCACACTGGAAAACTGTGATGATTTTATGCTGGGGCTGTTCCAGAAACCAGTTTCCTCTGCAACTAATCCCAAATTAATGACACAACATCATTAAGCAATTTGTGACATTCAGAGGTTGATAAAGTGCTCTAGAAATTCAATAATTTGTTTCTTCTTTCATTAAGTTAAGGAATTCCCATACAATGCACTGGAAAAATTAGCTAGTGGAATTATCTGTAGGTAATAGTCCAGAAATGGAGTTATGTGCAAGTTCAAAATAATTTCAATACTATTCTCTCTCAAGTACAGATTTTCTCTGATTTGACATCAAGGCCATGTGATTAAGGTGATTTGCTTGCTTGTACATCAAGAAGGTACGTAACCAATTCATTATAAAATAAATAGCCAAATTTAGAAATTTAAACATGTTTGAAACAATATTTAATGAAATTACCATGTGCGTTGTGTTTTTTTTTAATTATTCACTTGCAGAACATGGTTGTAGCTGGCCAGCATGTATTGCCTGTCCGTAGTTGCCCTTAAGGAGGTGTTGGTGAGCTGCCTTCTCAAACTGTTGCGGTCCATCTGCTGTGGTTTGACCCAAAATGTCATTAGGGACAGAATTCCAGGATTTTGACCCAGTGGCAGTGAAGGAATAGCGATATATTCCCCCAAGTCAGGATGCTGAGAGGCTTGGTGGGCAACTTGCAGGTGGTGGTGTTCCAATCTATCTGCTGCTTTTATCCTTCTGGATGGAAGTGGTCGTGGGTTTGGAACGTGCTGTCTGAGGATTGTTGGCAAATTTCTGCAGTGCATCTTGTAGGTAGTACACACTGATGCTATTGAGCGTCAAGGGTGGAGGGAATGGATGCTTGTGGATGTAATGCTAATCAAACTTTGTCCAGGCCAGTGACAAGCTTCTTGAATGTTGTTGCAACTGCACCCATCCAGGCAAGTGGAGAGTATTCCATTACACTCCCGACTTGTGCCTTGTAGATGGTGGACAGGTTTTGGGGAGTCAGGAAGTGAGTTACTTGCCGGAGTATTCCTGGCCTCTGACCGGTTTTGTAGCCACTGTGTTTATGTGGTGAGTCCAGTTGAGTTTCTAGTCAATGGTAACTCCCAGGATGTTGATAGTGGGGGATTCAGTGATGTTAACACCATTGAATAATAAGGAGTGGTGGTTAGACTGTGTCTTATTGGCGATGGTTATTGCCTGGCATTTGAGTGATGTGAATGTTACTTGCTACTTTGAAACCCAAGCCTGGACATTGTCCAGATCTTGTTGCATTTGAACAGGTCTTGTTGCATCTGAGGAAGGGTCATTGGACTCAAAACGTTAACTCTGTCTTTTCCTTCACAGATGCTGCCAGACCTGCGGAGCTTTTCCAGCAACTTTGTTTTTGTTGCAGGAACAGGACTGCTTCAGTATCTGAGGAGCTGCCAATGGTGGTCAACATTGTGCAATCATCAGTAAACATCCCCACTCTGACCTTATGATGGAGCGAAAGTCATTGGTAAAGCAGAAAATGGTTAGGCCTAAGACATTACCCTGAGGAACTCCTGCAGAAATGTCCCGGAGCTGAGATGACTGACCTCTGACAATCACAACCATCTTCCTATATGCCAGCTATGACTCCAACCAGCGCAGAGTTTGCCCCTTATACCCACTAACTCCAATTTTGCTAGGCTCCTCGATGCCACATACAGTCAAATGCAGCCTTGATGTCAAAGGCTATCACTCTCACCTCACTTCTGGAATTCAGCTCTTTTGTCCATATTTGAACTAAGGTTGTAATGAGGTCAGGAACTGAGTGGCTCTTGCGGAGCCCAAACAGGGCGTCACTGAGCAGGTTATTGCTGAGCAGGTGCTGCTTGATAGCATTGTTGATGACACCTTCCATCACTTCACTGACGATTGAGAGTAGACTGATGGGGCAGTAATTGTCCAGATTAGATTTGTCCTGCTTTTTATGTATTGGACATAGCTGGGCAATTTTCCACACTGTTGGGTAGAAGCCAGTGTTGTAACTGTACAGGAACAGCTTGGCTAGGGGAGCGGCAAATTCTGCAGCACAAGCTTTCAGTACTATTGCCAGAATGTTGTCAGGGCTCGTAGACTTTGCAGTGTCCAATGTCTCTAACAACTCCTTGATACCACGTGGAGTGAATCAAATTAGCTGAAGACTGGTATCTGTAATGCTGGGGACCATTGGAGGAAGCCAAGATGGATCATCCATTCAGCACTTCTGGCTGAAGATTGCTGTGAATGCTTCAGCTTTATCTTTTGCACTGAAATGTTGAAAGCCCTGTCATTATCATGGACGTTACCTATGATGGAAGCAAAATTTTCTGGTTTAAGACAGAAAATTTGCTTCCATCATAAAATTTTACATAATAAATACTAGATTTGATCTTTATTTGTATCTCAACCTTATTTGGGCCAGTTTTAGTTTTTTTTAGCTAAAGAACTCGACAAAAACTTTAAGTTTCCTCATGCGCGTACTTTTTTGTTGACAAATCATGCTTAAATATCACTATCAGTATCAGGGGAAGTGTGTGGCCTTGACCATCTTATGATTCTAGCTGGAGGAGGATCTATGGTAACAAGCGGCTTGTAAAAGCACAAAAGTAGGAAAGAGTTCACTTAACTTTTCTATGATACTCTTAAAAGGCAAGAACTCACGAAATCTTGTTGAGTAGTTTTGTCACGTAGTTCAAAGGCTTTGCTACGTAGCTTGCTCACTTTTTTTTTTAAAAAGTACAACTATTCCTTAAAATTGATGTTACTTTTTCATACCATATTTGAGTTCTATAATGCCTGATTAATTCCAGAATCAATTTAATCATAAGTTCATCCGTCCCCTACAAATCTTCACAATGTCAGTTGATTCTTACTGTGAGTGCAGAGGAATCTAGTGTTATCAGCTAACATCATGATTTTTCTCCAATCTCTGCTTGACTCTTTGTCTAATTTGCAGGGGTAATTCCAGTTCAATTTATGTAATTGGCTACCTATTTGAGGACTTTTACTTACCATTATATATTCTGTCATTACCATTTGTCCAGCTGTCTCCAGAGTTGAAATCTCTCAAAGGCATAGTTTCCTCTGGCGTTTGGAACTAAACTGTACACATCTTTCTGATGCTTTTAAACAGAAGGACATACATACATTGGACAATAAACTCTAGAGACAGAAAACCACAGCAGACTGGTAGAAAGTCTTATTTCTTTTGTGTAATTCTAAGAATGACTCCGCGGCAAAATAATATCCCAAACATTGAATCACAGCATTTAAACAGAAAAGAAGTACAGTCAATGACAATCGAGTGACAAGAAGAATTTCGTAAAAACAAAGATATTGTGAAATAAAGGTTTAAAGTTACCACTTCAGTTCTTTGCCTTGGGGCAAAAGTAATATCAATGAAAGAGTTAACCATCACTCTAAACATTACCCAGACAACATCTGTGGTAGGAAGTAGACCAGTCTCTTGCATAATTAGAATATGAATTGAATAGTTCCAGCAACAAAAGGGCATGTCTGGTCTATTGGCCTGAAAACAAACGCAGCAGCAATGTAGGGCAAAAAAGGTCAGTCAGAAACAATGGGACCATTCGAGATGTCTGCAAGATGAAGGCTTGCTTTCTCAGCAGTAGAATTCACTTGTGGTTTTATAAAGTACTTTGAATTGAGAAGAAAGCAGGTGCTGTGTGAATACTAGAAATACTTTAAATGACAACAATCTTGATAATATCAATTTTATTTTAAACATTAAAGGCATTGTGCTGATATACATTCTATTTTCATTTATATAAGACAAGCAACTCTGTTAAGTATTTGCAAATTCATTTACAACATATCTTTACTTTATATTTAATGGATTTGGGACTTGGTTGACTATTTGTAATTGTTATATGAAGTGAAGATATTTGCTAACATATAAGCTGGTTATGAAGGTTAAAATGAGTATTGCATTCATCTGATCATTTAAACACACATCTCAACTGCTGCTGAGATCTGCTTATAATACTTAAAACATGTTTAAATGGAATGCATTTTATGATGCAATTTCCAAAATCATAATTTCTATAAAATAAGTATGAGTGTTGCAACATTGCTATTGCACAATGTGGATACGAATAAACTTTCACTGCAGCAAAGCACACTGTGCAATAACTATGTGATATTAAAACAACTCATGCTTAATGTATTTTGCATGTGACTTAAGAAATCATGTAATACAGACACTACTTAACAGATGTCAGTCTTGTGATAGGCAGTGACAAAATAAGAATGCTGCATTCATCATTTTGTTTCCTGAAAATATGCATATAAAGTACATACAAGTGCATAATTAGAAAATATTTTTGCTCAAGAAAAATACTTCTTTTAGGGAAAATAGAAATGTAAAATAAATCCTCCTGAAAGACGACAGAGCAAGAGAGGACTATTTTGCCACAGTTGATATGCTGAGTGTGTTCAGACTTTGGTTATTTTGGTAACATTCCATGACCCCAAAGCAGAATAACTTTGAACTAACTCATGTAAAATACACACTCTAACGTACAAACGGAAAAGAATCTGAATCACACTAAATTGGGATCCCAAGCATTTGAATTTTTTTTTATACACAAAAAATTGAAATGAGTTTCAGAACACAATGGACAAAGTTACCTGTTCGCAATTTCAGGTCAGTTAGTCGCAATATAAAAGTTAAAAGTTTCTGAAGTGACAGAAGAGAATGCTCAACTTTGTGCATTTTCAGATACAATGTTTTCATGATTCCTTTGGATCTCCTGTCTCAGCGTCCACGGATAATTGTCTGCACTAAATTTTTGAGTTGCTCTGATGCCCAAGGATTGGTAGAAAATAATCTTCAAACTTCAGTCCTTTAGCACCTTGGGATCATGCAAACGTTGTATTTCCATTGTGTCGTGAACGTGACCTCTCCAAAGTAATGCGCCTATTTTCTGTGACAAGAAATATAAAATCAAACATTTGGATTTTAATGGCAAGTCTTTGAAAGAAAATGGCAAAACATGAAAGTAAAATTGAAAACATAAAACTGCTATGAAAATAGACATAGAAAGAATAGCAAGTGTAGATTACATTGATGCTAAAATGCATTTGAGGATCTGTAAAATAATGTTCTTATGAGCAATGTGATTTATCAGAAAGAGACATTATTATCTTGGACAGTTATGAAGCAGAAATTCCAACTAAAATTGCCTATATAATAGGAATCTATCAAGGTGACAATGAAGTGCACTTCAGCCACCTTTGGGGACGGAATTACACAGTGGTAAAAATGCACAGTGACTGTTAAAAGCAAAAGCAGCAAAGCAACAAAGCTTGAATGGTAGAAATGCACGCAAGGTCTGCTGGCTCCCTTTCATGTAGAATGTCAATGATAGACAACATCACGTTATCAGTGATCCATAATATTAACCGTTCCACTACGTAATAGTGGAGTTTGATATTGGACAGTGGATTCTATTGAGAGCATCTTTGGCAAGGTACTCTTGGCTGCAAAGTGCTTGATGTGTCTTGTAGCATCTGGATCCAAGCTATAAAAGCATTACTGCAACAAACATGTCAGTTCTGCTACCTAAGGCTTAGTATAATAGAGCTAATTCACTAAAATTACAGTAATTCCATTAGCATCCATTTTGTTATGGCCATGAAACTACATAAGAAGACAAGACACAGATGCTCTTTCAATGAGATAATCTAATATATGACTTTTGCTATAAACTGCGTTATTTACAACACCATCATAAACAAATGTAAAACATAAAATAAGCTGCCTAAGAGATGCTCTTTGTTCTCTTTTCTGGAAGACTGATGCATGGACAACAAGTACCATGTATAAATCACAAAGCTTTTTCTCCTCCAGTTGATGATCTTTCTCATTGATGAACTGGGACGGCACTGCTCTGCAGTGAGCACATACAGAATATAAATAAAATAAAAGCTTATTGAAAATAGTAATATGAATTTTAGGACTACAGCTATTACACAATTATTCATTTGCAGCAATGCGACCATCACAGAGAAAACCCTGAAACTGAAGATCCTGCAAAATTGTACACTTACATAACTAAAAGTGCAACTGATTAGTAGTATTCTTTAAACAAAAACTCCTAATAAGACAGCACGCAAATTTGCCACCTTCAAAGAAAATTAATACAATGCTGAGCTGTGCCAACAAACAATACTTTTTTAGCAGGATGTTCATGTCCAAAACTTCAGCTTTGAAGATCAATACAATACGCATGCCGAACAGATATACAATAGTCATCTGAGGTAAGTAATTCAGTGAATTCAATTTCTGTTGTCAAGCACAATTTGTAAACTGTGATAGATGGTGTAAGCAGTGCTCTCTTGGATCACCATACCATGCATTAGTGTGAAAGAATGTAGATCTGACCCCAGCTAAAGTTCAAAATTAAACTGCAGAAATGTACGAAATAGATACCAGTCAATTGATGGAAGAATTTATAAGCTCTCATAATAAGGGTAACAAAGTTCTCTGCATAAAGTTTCTAATGCAATTATATACAGGCAGTTTCTGGATTGCCAATGGGTTCTGTTCTGGAACAAGGAACGGGTCAAATTCTCACTTTAACGTTTCAATCCAGTCAACATCTCCATTGGCTGTCAAGATTTAATAACTCAAAACATAGAAAGCTTATTTCTTACGCCAAGTGTAGCTTATGTGGACCAAATAAAACAATTGATCTCAATAAGCATCCACACCTTGTGCAAACAAAACTCAAATAATATTTTCGTCAACAATATGTACTGATTATAATGAGGTCAGCCAGGTGGATATCATAGAATAGGAGTTCCCTGATTGAGGCTTTTAACATGGTCCAATCAGGGAGACCTCGCTGACAGATAAGAACAGAAGTGTCAGACATCCTTTTTACACTGAGTTCTGGCTCTGAGGGAGCTGGATCAGCATCAAGGACTAAATAAAAGGTGACTTGACGACAGGATACCTACCTCTGTGGAGTTATTTCAGAATACACAACCCAAATGTGGCAAACATTTTGCACTGTGTGCCCAATTATGTGCCAGGAGTTTCTGCTTTAAATTGCGAAAGCAAACCTTTCTTCAGGTGACTTTGATGAGAAAATTAACTTGTAAATTAGCTTCAGACATATATTCACTGGGTAGAGTTTTGTCATGATGTTAGGGCTCCGGCCTGCCAGCTGCACAGCTAGCTAGAGACCCAGGTGGCCTCTTCTCAGGAAGTCCCACCAAACTACGAGCCAATGAGGCAGCAGCAATACCACTGGGGGACTGAAGTCTTGGCCAGTGAGAGCTGCTAGCCATTCAGCAGGTGGAAGCTCTTGTGCTCCCAAGGGGAGCCAGGGAATGGGTGGGAAATTGGAGAACTCAATGTTAAGTCCTCTGGGCTGTAGGGTGCCCAGGCAGGAGATAAGATGTTGTTCTTCAAATTTGCCTTCCAAGTCACAGGGACACTGGAGGAGGCTGAGGACGGACATGTTGGAGGTGGAGTGGGGCAGGGAGTTGAACTGGGCGGTGACCAGGAGATTAGGTTGGTTGTTAAGGGCCAGGCAGAGATGCTCAGCGAAATGGTCACCTAAGTCGACATTTGGTCACACTGACTTAGAGAAGACCACATTGGAAGCACTGATGCAATAGACTTGGTTGGAGGAGATGCAGGTAATACTCGGTATCACTTGGAAGGACTGTTTTAGGGCCCCGGATGGAGGTGACGGAGGTGGTTACCATAAAAGATGCAACACCTGCATCTCCTGCAACCTAGTCTATTGCATCCGGTGTTCCCGATGTGGCTTTCTCTATGTCGGGGAGGAAGGAAGCTTTCTGTTCATATTGAGTAACTGCCCTGGTATTACTTCATAATGTCAGGAAGCTGTCAAAGATTTTGTTCAATAGAGTTAATCTCTATGAGCACAATGTAATGGAGCAGTTGTTAGGAATAAAAGGAAAATTGAATGTGTCTTAGTGAACAGGATTACAAACAGAGATAGTAGGAACTGCAGATGCTGGAGAATCCGAGACAACAAGGTGCAGGGCTGGATGAACACAGCAGGCCAAGCAGCATCATAGGAGCAGAGAGGCTGACGTTTCGGGCCTCGAAGGGTCCAGGATTACAAACAGCATTGGGGTATGTCCAATTTTATGGATGGAAGCAAATCACAAGATGCTAATCCACCTCAACTATCTAATTTCCAATGCTTTATTTTTCTCCTTCCTCTCCAAGTTCTCTAATCATACAAATTTGGTCCATTTTCTTGTGAGGGTTAAAACGTTTTTTTGGTAATGGACATATTAGGGCAAATCAAGACTTCTACCATTGTAAAATCAAACTTAAATACACAACACGTACATTGTCCTTGCAAGAAAAGCGACAAAGGAGTTTTTTTTAAAAGACTGTGAATTCAAGTTAATATGATAACATAAGGATAGGTATCAAAATCAGACCAAAGATTTATAGAAAGGCTAAACTCAGAGTGACATGCACTGTTCCATGTTAATCATCAGTGTCTGTTATCAGGTGAATTCAGATCTGAAAGACTTATCAATACAGACAGCTCCTGTCCACAATGAGGCCACAGCAATCACCATGTTCTTCTAATTACGAGTTAAAATCTGATCATGAACAGTTACTAATATCTGTTTCTTTAAAGCAAATGGCACAATAATTAATTAGTTAACAAGAATATTGGTGTCAATATCATTACGTTGGGTTAGTCTCTAACTAGTGATAGGGTGGTTGAACAGAGGGAGAAATCATGGATTTGCGATACTTGTAATAGCTTTCGTCATGGCTGGTGAAACTAATTAAACCTTTTGACAGCAGAATGTCTATGGTTGTAGGTTACCTTTTAAGCAAATTTCTAGGGGCCTCTGATAATGTCCCTAATAAGAGATAGTTAACTGAAGTTGAAAGAGCATAGAATTGAGGAAAAATTATTTACTTTGTAGGATCTTGGTTGAGCTGAAAGAAATAGATTGCAGACACAATAAGCAGATTCAGTAATTAGCAGGATTTGTCCAGTGATGCTCACAAGGATCTGTGTTGGAGCATCAACTAATCACTGCATCATTAATGACTCAGATATAGTTTTAAAAAAGAGGCAAGAAGTTCAACTTTTTTATCTTGCACTCATTCAGACTGAAACACACTATAACCAATTTCTGAACGAAACAACAATTTATACAGCAACAGAAGAGGGTACTGATAGTATGGACTATGGTTGGCGTGGAGACATTAATTATTTTCACTAATAGATTAACTTCAAACCAGGTAACTCTAATCGCTCAGGGCATTGTCAAGGCGATGCAAAAGAGACTGGTTGTCTCTGTAGTTCTTTTCTCAGTGAGAAAGGTGAGATTCATTGATGTTTTCTTTTTGCCCAAGAATAAGGAAACAGGAAAGATGCAGAAGCGTTGGAAAAGGTGCAGAGGAAATCTACCGGGATGTTGCCTGGAATGGAGGGAAGGTCTTACGAGGAAAGGTTGAGAGAGCTAGGGCTTTTCTCTTTCGAACAACGAAGGATGAGAGGTGACTTGATAGAGGTGTACAAAATGATCAGAGGTATAGATAGAGTAGACAGCCAGAGACTTTTTCCTAGGGTGGAGGTAGCTATTACGAGGGGACATAGTTTTAAAGTGAGTGGAGGTAGATATAGGGGAGACGTTAGAGGTAGGTTCTTTACTCAGAGAGTGGTCAGGGCATGGAATGCATTGCCGGAGAGGGGAGTGGCATCAGCCTCATTGGGGCATTTAAGCGGCTATTAGATAGGCATATGGGTGATAGTATAAGGTAGGGGTGGAGGTTAGATAGACCTTAGGATTAGCGTAAAAGTTGTGCACAACATTGTGGGCCGAAGGGCCTGTACTGTGCTGTACTGTTCTATGTTCTAAGTTCTAAGGCCTTGAGTGTGAATAAATGTAGCTTCTTCAATGCACT